CATCCTCAACAAGCTGGTAGAACTTAAGCTTGAAGGTCCAGTGCAAGTATGGCCCTACTTAGGCATTTGAATTGACTTTATATTGATAATTACATTCTCTCCCTTTTAGAGTCACCCTCTCAATCTTAGAATGTTGGTCCTCAAAACCCAGGCCCACTTCTAGTTATGTGTCTTTCTCATTACAGCCAAGTGAGGTAGATCTGGGCTGCTCCATCAACAGATGTGTATTTATTATAAACTTGGAATTGGCCATTGATTGAACCTTTGTTAGTGTGTCTAGAGACAGATTGTGACTCAAGGTCTATTTTCCCTGATACACATGTGAGCTACTCAAGCTTTGTGTCATAAACTATTTTTATCCCCAGGTACACCCTTGATTGAAATGAGCCTTTTAAAAAATTATTTGTTTTTTTTTTAATGAGCTTTTTATAGACAGCATGGGATGCCCTATGGGTATGGGAAGAGATGGGATCACAGGTGTGACTGGGAAGAAGTGTGGATGTATTACTTTACATGGGGAGTATTACTTTAACTATGTAAAGATGTGTTCCATTTGTTTATGCTGCATTTGTTTAAAGATGTAAAGCTGTGCTGCTTTCCCTGCCGAAGGCACCTGATTGGTCTAATAAAAAGCTGAATGGCCAATAGCTAGGCAGTAGAGGGATAGGCGGGGCTGTCAGGCAGAGCAAATAAGTAATAGGAGGCGTTTAGGAGGGAAAGGAGAGGGGAAGAGAGAGAGAGAGAGAGAGAGAGAGAGAGAGAGAGAGAGAGAGAAAGAAAGAAGAGAATGAGGGAGAAAGAGGGCCAAGCAGCCAGCCACAGAGGAAGCAGGAAAGTAGGACATACAGAATGAAAGGTAAAAAGCCCTGAAGCAAAATGTAGATGAAGAAAAAAAACAGGTCAAATTAAGTTATAAGAGCTTGTGGGACAAGTATAAGATAAGCCCGAATATTCATAACTAATAATAAATCTCTATGTCTTGATTTGGGAGCTGGTTGGTAGTCCAAGAAAGCCTGCTACAGGAAGAAGTGGGGATAAGAAAGGGTGGGTATGAAAAGGGGTGGGATCAGAGGTGGCAATTGGAAGAGGCAAGAACTGAGGAGAGAATGTGATCTCAATCCATCCTGTGACAAACTTCAAGTTTTGGGTCCTGTCCTCCTGCCTCTCTCAGGCCAACTCTCCCATGCCCTAACCCCCCTTGGACAGACCTCTCACATTTTACAGTGGAAACAAGTGAGCACCATGAGACTTCCTAATTGACGGTGAAAGAGCCATAGATGGAACCTGCTTCAGTGGAGATGAGGGCATTTTTCAAGACTCTACACAGAATGTCTCCCCTCATGCTCCTTACAATGACATACAACAGTTCCTCCCATAGAGAAGCACAAGCCAATGACAGCTTCCCCGCCATCCAGCAGGGTCTGTGGCTACAGCGAAAGTTGTACTATGTGACTTCCAAGCCAACTCCATAAACAGCAACAGAGCTTTCTCCTAGTTATTTGTTCTTGGAACTTAGCTGCTCTGAGCCAAGGAAACTTCAGATTTCTGTAAGGGGTTCTCATGTGATCAAGCTATCATGGGAGTGGGGCTCTTAGGGACCTCAGAGCCCCTAATGGGAAACCAGCAGACATGAACTCCATGCAGAGAGATGAGGTGGCCTGACCAAGGCCTGCCAAATGGAAAATTCATGAGCAAATTTACCATTTCCCCAATTTTTCTCTCTGTTATTGATTTTTAGTTTCATTCCATTGTGGTCAGAAAAGATATTTGGTATGATTTCAAGCTTTGTTAAGATTCATGATTTGTTAAGATTTATATTTTCATGTGCATGCTATCCTGAAAAACATTCCTTGTGCATTGGAGAAGAGAACGCCATCTTCTGCTGTTGGGTAGAATATCTGTGCACATCTATGGGTCTACTGGTCTACAGTGCTCTTCGGCCCTTGTTTCTTTGTTGGTTGTGTGGTTTGAATGAGAATGGCCCCATAGGCCATCTGAATGTTTGGTTCCCAGGTGGTGGACTGTTTAGGAAGGATTAGGAGGTGTGGCCTTGTTGGAGGAGGTGTGTTACTGAGGATGGGCTTTGAGGTTTCAAAAGCCCACAACAGTTCCTGGCTCCATCTCTTTCCATCTAGTGCATGAGGATCAGGTTTAAGCTCTCAGCTACTGCTCCAGTGCCATACCTGCCTGTCCGCTGCCATGATTCCTGCCATGGTGGTCACAGACTCACCCTCTGACACTGTAAGCAAGCCCCCAGTTAAATGCTTTCTTTTTTAAGTTGCCTTGATTGTGTTGTTTTGTTCCAGCAATGGGACAGTGACTAAGACAGAAGTCTGCTGTGTGGGGCTCTACCCACTGCTGAAAGCAAGGCACCAGGACTGAGTTTGCATTACTGTTGAGGTCTCCTTTCAGATCTGCCAATACTTGTTTTACATGTGTGACTTTGTGGTGTTGGGAGCTTACACATTGGCACCGCGTCTGCTATGTTATTACTATGTAAAGACCTTTGCCCTTTGGAGACAGCTCTTGCCCTTCAAGTCTACTTCAAGTTCACTGTGTGAGCTACTCTGGCTTTCTTTTGGTTAATATTCAACACACATTTTTTTTTCTGCTCCTGTGTACACTCCATCAGAAGTGAGCTTCTGGTAGACAGTTGGACTTTCTGTGTATGTTTAACACATTCCATCATTTTATATCTCTTTCTTTGCAGGAATTTAGTCTATTTACAGCAATTAAAGATAAGGTCACTGTATTTGATTAACATGTGCACAAGTGTGTGTGTGTGTGTATGTGTGTGTACATGGGTGTATGTATGTTCACATGTATGTGCATGTGGACATACATGCACCTTGAAGAGTTGGCTGTATTCCCATGCTTAGTACAGCCCTGCTCACAACAGTGACAATATGGGAACAACCCACCAACAGGTAAATTAAAGAAGAAATGGTGCAACACACAGATATTCCTCAACTTCCTGAGTGGTTTCCCACGTAGCCATAGATTTAATCATCTATTACCAACCTAATAGTCTTCCTTAAGTCAGTGTGGTGGTTTCAAAGAAAATGGTCCCCAGAGGGTGTGGCACTATTAGGAGGTGTGGCCTTGTTGGAGTAGGTGTGGTCTTGTTGGAGGAAGTGTGTCACTCTGGAGGCGGGCTTTGAGGCCTCATATATGCTCAAGCCACGCCCAGTGAGACAGACCACTTCCTGTTGCCTGCAAGATGTATTCTCAGCTCTAGCACCATGTCTGCCTGCACACTACCATGATGCACCATGATGGTAAGGGACTGTTGAACCTTTGAACTGTAGGCCATCCCAATTAAATGTTTTCCTTTAAGAGAGTCTGTGGTCATGGTGTCTCTTCACAGCAACAGAAACCCTACGACAGTCGGAAACACTGAAGACAAGAGGTGGGATGTGCAATTTAAAACCCTGGCTGAATCAAGCCCCTTAGTAAATTGGGAAAGCAGTTGCTTTAAAAGTAAAATGAAATGTGATGTACAATTAAATCAAGAGACCTGTGCTGAACACTAAGGAGTGAGTGGTATATGTGTACGTGCATGGTACACACACATACACACACACACACACACACACACACACACATCCTGTGGTGGAAGTCACTGGAATCACACAGCATACACTGGCCAAGGAGGGATTCCCAGAGGGAGCTCCCAGCATATCCCATTTCATTAAACAGCCTTGCAGAATGACATAGGCTTTTGTTCCTTTACAAGGGCTCTTTCAATGGAGACACTAGGCCAGGTTTTGAGGTAAGTGTTGGGAAATTAATAGCTAATGCGAGAAGACAGATATCTGTGTTCATTGTGCTCTACTCTAGTGGGGGAGATATACAAATGACTGGACAGAATCCACTGTGGTGGGACTCATGGAAGGTGCAGACAGGCAGCTGAGTTGGGGGAGCTGAGAGATGGTTCTCTGAGGTAGCAACATTCAGGCTGAAACCTCAAACATAAAGGGTGGCCTTGAGAGATGAGCAGTGTGGAAAGCTTCACAGAAGAGGGGGCAGCAGGGCCCAAGGCCAGACGAGCCTGGTAGGTGTGAGGATGGCTGGAATGTAGTGTGTAGGTGACCCTGGAGAGTGCTGGCGAATCAGGGCATCATCTTGAGGGTCCTGGGACTCTAAGAGGAAAGCTGTGGCAGGGTTCTTCAGGGACACAGGTGTGAGGCACAGGCTAGGTGATGAGCTGCATGGCCAGGCCGGGAGGAGGGGTTGGCCTGGAGCACAGAGTGCAGGGAACGGAGTACTGTTTATGTATTACTTGAACTCTCGGTGACAGAGCTGGTTCCTGAGTTCTGGTTAAAATCAGCTCTGCTTCCTGGAGTGGCCCTAGCTAGCAGGCCATTGTTCTTCCCTTTGAACAGAGCCATGAACAGAGCCAACATCTGGAAGACACATGCAGGGGTGGTGGAGATCTTTAAATGACTCGATGGTGTTGTTTTTCATAATCAGGCAAAGAAGAATAAGCAAGAACTGCTTCCCTAGAAAGCGTCTCAGGCTCCTGGACAATCCTTCCAATCTAAGAACAATATTTTTCTTCTGTTTTAATTTCAACCAGAGAATGAGATGGTTGAAAAATGTAAGACCGCCCCTCCACCACATCCACCCCATACGAGTCTGTCCGAAGGGAAAGCACGTTACCTTCCTCCGTTCATCTTTGTCTTGGTGATTATTTCTGTCTCTAGAAAGCATACCGATGTGATGACTTGATTTACCAGACCAATGTGTTATCCCACAGAATTCCTGCCCCCACAGGTAAGGATTGCTATCACCACGGCTCCCTCCCGGCCCCATTCCCCTCTCACAGGCCAACTGCTACTCTTTGCTCTTTTCCCTCTGCGGGTCCCAAACTAGCTGCGTCAGGATCAGCAGTCAGCTTATTAAAACACACGCTGGCCCATTTCTGATTTAGTTTCTCATTTAGTGTGTCTACGTGGGTCCAAGATTTTTCTTTTCCCTTGTCAATGTTAATTTTCACTTGTGCAGGCACACTCATGTGTGGGGTGGGTAGGGATGCTCGCATGTGGAGGACAGTCATCCTCGATTGCTTTTATACCTTATTCATTGAAGCAGCGTGTCTTAATCAAACCCAGAGCTTGCTGATATGGCCAGTCTCTCCAGTCAGCCTGCTCTGGGGATCCCCTCCCCACCTTCTCATGCTTGTGTGGCAAGCTCTTTAACCACTGAATCATCTTCTCTACTTTCAAATTTTCTTACATGATCCCAAGATCAGCTGGGGTTGCTGGCACAGGGGCTGCTGAGGCCAGGATTCTCTTCCTGACCTCGGCAGTCTTAAGTAATGAACAGCTATTTTTTGTTTCATTGGGTTCTGCAATCTCTCTTGGCTTACCAATGTAAAAGCGCTATTCAGAGATTAGGTTATTAAGAGAACTATCATTCTTTTACGTCCACCTAGTCAATCTGATGGCATCTGTGCTTTATACTGTTACTCTGACTATGGCTTGGAGGCAGAGACTAAAGCCTGTAAGTAGTGTTCATGTTGTTGTATCTACAGGTTTCCACAGTAGGGCCCAGGTCATTGTCTTGACTATACGGCCTCCACAGGGGCCAAGCTGAATCCAGGAATATGTGACTTTAACTTAACAGAGAATCTAGTTAACAGAGAGTCGTCTACTATCTAGGTCTTTTTTTTACTCATACTCACCTATTTACTCCAAATCCCAGTTTAATATGCCTTATATTTGAACCATGGCATTATTGTATGTTGCTTGTTAAGGTTTTTATTATTTGTGTGTGTGTGTGTGTGTGTGTGTGTGTGTGTGTGTGTGTACATGGGTGCAGGTGCTCTTGGAGGGCAGGAGAGGGGGACCGATTCCCTGGAGCTAGAGTTGTGAGCCACACAGAGTGGGCATTGGGAAGCAAACACCTTCAACTCTGAGAGAGCTTCTACAGTCTCAGATAGGGTGCGGTGACAGCCATCTGTAATCCCCGCACTTGAGAGGCTAAGGCAGGAAGACTACAAGTTCGAGGCGGGTTGTGCTACATAGTAAGTCTGGAGGTCAGTCTGGACTATACAACAGGACCCTGTATCAAAAAACAAAATCAAAATTCATAATCTCTTTTATCCTCTGAATAACGGTTTGCCTTCTAATATTCTGTTTATTTTCATTCCAATTGGCCTTTCTCTTTCATGTCCACATTGCCTCTAAACTCAGCTTTTCTTGGTTGCTAGTTCATGCTAAGGGTAAAAATTACTGATTTGTAGGTCTATAGATACGTTTAGGTGGAAGGAAGGCTGGCTGGAAGGCTGGAAATAGGGTTTCCTTTGGGAAGACTGGCTCACACTCATGCCTCAAACAGTTTATTCAACTCTTCAGCCACAATGAATCAACTGTCTGCCTTACTGCTAATTCATATATATGCCTGCTAATTAATGAACATGGAGTGATCAAGAAGGACATTTTGATACCAATTTTTCCCTTTATCTCTGGCCGGGTTGGATCCTGACTGTCCTAGTCCGTGAAGGTTTTAAGACGCTCTTCAGGAAAGAAGATCCCCTTCAGTGCTCGGCCCCTGTAGGAATGAGGGTCAGGTCCAGGGAAATTCTGTTCAGAGCTAGCAACATACTAACTCGAGTTAGCAACTCTCTCCCTGGTCAGTACAGAGTCTTGACAAATGCAAAGGTCACTGAGATGAATCCTAACACTCCAAATGCCGACGTCTACAATACAAGCATGAACAGATTTCTTTTTTTTTTAGGACAGCAAGATTTATATTTAGAGAACAGAGCAATGCTTGGACTAGAGATTTATTACTAAATTTATAGAATTTGCCACGGATGTCTGTTTGTCCCTTGTGTGTCTGTCCCTGTGGAGGTCAGAAAAGGGCATCAGATCATCTGGAACAGGAGTTATAGGCAGCTGTGAGGCGCTGTGTGGGTGCTGGGAATTGAACCCAGGTCCTCCACAAGAGCAGCCAGTGCTCTCAACAGCTGAGCCATCTCTCCAGGCCCCAGAGCGTCTGATTCTTAATACAGAAACATTTTACTGTCCTCCCCTCTCCTCCTTGGTTTCTTTGTAGCTCACCTTAAGGCTAGCCCTGCACTCTGCCCCACGTAGACATCCTGGGTCCTTCTGACTCTTCCTTCATTTCCCAAGTTCTGAGTCTAAGTGACCAGCAAGGCTTGCAGGCCACCTTCTCACTTGTACTTTAAAAGGGAGGCTCATGTCTTAAAACAAAAGGAAGCCTTGCCCAAAATGTGTGTGTGTGTGTGTGTGTGTGTGTGTGTGTGTGTGTGTGTGTGTGTGTAAACAGAGAAAGCCAGTTGAGTGCTGAGCATGCATACTCTCCCCCCTCCACCCTACCCCCATCTATCTCCTCTCCCCCTCCTCTGCTGTTCATGGTGGCTGCCATGTGACTAGCTGCTTCAAGTTTCCTCCTTGGCTTCTCCACAGTGATGGGCTGTATCCTAAAATGGAGGGCTACAATGAACCCTTGCTCCCCTAAGTTGCTCTCTGCCAGGATATTTTATCACAGGGACAGAAACAAAACCAGAACGGATTCTAACCTGATTCTTCTGGGCGATCTTTTGTCCCTTCTTCCAGCGCAGCACTGGTGTCAGATGTGGCAGCTCCCGCTCCTCATCGCCAGTCACGTGCACACCCAGGCTGTAGGCGGCCTCAAACACGATGGGGCTGATGACATCCTGGACCCTCCGCTGCAAGCGCAAACAAGAAGAGCATTAATGCTGAGCATCTGCGATGCTGGGCAGCATTCTGCTGTTCACAAAGACCGGCCTGCCACACCGCTCACCTCAGGTGGCCCTCACAACCATCCTCACAGCTAAGGCTTCACTGCTTTTGTCTTGTAGGCAGGGTAAGGGAGGCCCAGGGCAAACACCAGCTTGTCCTGGTCTCTGTGGACAGGCAGGGATTTCTCAGGCTACCTTGTGTGGTGCTAAATCATCTACTCCAGAGCATATGGAAGACATTATCTAACTCGTCATCCTTGTGTGCGTAGATGCCAGTTGGTGCCTGGGACAGCATCTGTGTTCGATGCTCACCCTTTACTTGCACGAGGTGTGGATGACCAAAGCTCTTTTGCACTGAGATGGCAATTTTGTGTCAGGGCAGGGGATCCAACAACACTGATGTGTAAGGTGTCTGCAGCGGGCTAGCCATCAGTGGAGTCAAAGGCAAGCTTCGTGCTCATTCTTCTAGAACCCAAGGATTTCAAGGCCCCCAGAATGGTCGACTGGTAGCCACAAGAGGGGCTGGAAAGCTGTGTTAGGTACCTTTTCTGTTGCTGTGATAAAACACTACAACCCAGGAAACTCATAGAAGGAAGAGTTTATTGGGGCTGTGGTTCCAGGGGGCAAGAGTCCGTCATGGTAGGGAAGCATTCAGCAAGCAGCAGGAACAGGAAGCTGGAAACGCAGACCTTCAACCCAAAGCAGGAAGGAGCATGATGGACAGGGGCGAGGGAGAGAACTGCAAGCGGTGGAAACTTGTGAATCTCAAAGCCCACTTCCTGTGACACACTTCCTCCAGCCAGGCTGCGCCTTCTAAACTTTTCCAAACACTATCGCCGCCGCTGCCTAGAGACCAGTGTTCAAATGCTGGAGCCTACGGGGACATTCTTGTTCCAATCTCTCGGGGAGGGAGGAGAAGAGGAGACGAGTGGTCTAACAAGATGCCAGGTCCACGCTATGGCTTCTAGGGATGAACAACACACTCCTTACCCACCATCACACAGGAAAGGAACAAGGGAGGTACAAGACTCAGTTCCACAGGACACAGGCCTGGTAAGGACCCTGATCTTTCCAACTTCCAAGTTCATGGTCTTTCTGCATAGTGGCACTGCCTCTGGGTGACTCTAGGCCCCACACCCTCACAGGTGAGAAGTAGAGGCAAGAGCTGGTCAGTAGTCTTGCATTAGGGGCCAGCACATTATCTGGGGTGGTCTACCTTAACATAGCAAGGCTAAGAAGGTCATCACCCACAATCAAACCCTCTGCTCTGTAACCATCATGGAGAGCACAGGGGTGTGGCGCAGGGAACTGAGAAACACCTTATAAAGAACAAGAGAAGCTGGCCAGGCAGCAGATGTCGCCTACGCTAGGAGGCCTGAACACACAGCCCATGAATTCACATTATTCTCTATGAAGTTTGGAGGAGTTAGGATCGGGGTCTCATTGTGTTTAAAATGGTAGAAAGTTCCAAATGTCTCAGGAAGCACCCAGAAGAGAGCTTTCTCCAATGCTCTATGACAGCCCATCTCCTCCTTGGGGACAGCTGGGGACAGACTCTCGCCCAGCAGGGGAGAAAACAGGCCAAGCATCTTGGCTCTCAAACTTCACTGCCATCTCTGTGCTCAGCAGGCACCCTAGGCAATGTCTGTGTCCTTTGTAAGGATGCCCAACTTGTGACTACAAGGATGACCAATTACCCCATTTGGATGAAAATATGCCTTAGAAGTGAAGGGATGTCGCCAACCTACAGACTATAGCAGAGTTCTCAGGATAGGCCTTGTTTCTCAGGATGGTATTTGGGTTCCCTGGAAGTGGAGCAGTCTGGATTACAAGAGGGGGGTGCCCCAAAATAAAGCAAGGTTAAACAGCATCTTACTGTTTTGTTTGTCAATTATGTTCTCACTTAATTGTGTCTGAGAAATGGGGAGCAGTCCCAGGTTTAATGGGCCACGGCACCCCATGTTTTCTCCCAGGTCTCCTCGTAATAAGGTGTTGAGTGCAGCACATTCAGAGGTGCTGGGTGCTATAAACTTCCTGGCACAGTTCTGGGAAGGAGTCAGGGGTGCTGAGTAGGATAGATGGGAGGCAGATGTGGCAGATGTGAGGTAGGGTGTGGAGGACACAGCAAAGGGACACAGGCGATATCAAAGGCTGACGCCTGGACAAGAAGCAGATGATGCACATTTGTGTCCAGTAAAGCATCCACCTGGGAAAAGATTCAGTTCTGTAGCCTAACAAAAATACAGGACCTCCGCAGCAGAGTGATGGAGGTACCTTAGACAAAGGGTTTCTAGAAAGTTCTCTGGAACTCTTCATCTTAGAACAGAACTTTAAGATTTGAGATCTTTCCAGGAGCAAGCCACGTACCTAGGATCCAGATTCCTCCAGCCTGCTGGCTCTAACCAGAATTCAAAGATGGTAGATGGCACGGAGAAAGACGGACGAACAGATGCCAAATTCACACATTTGCAAACAATTCTCTGTGTTTCTTTGAGGCTTGTTAACTCTTTCAGGGTCTTACACCAAATATTTTATGTTATAGTAAGTCCACAATGACACTGTTATTCTGGGCCCAGGGGAAGAGGAGAGTCGGGGAGGGGCAGCAGTCACTTCCTGTTTCTTGACTGCCATGTATATTCCAGAGTCTTCCCCAAGCTGAGCTGACCTCGTTCTACTTAATCCTCACACCACGTGGTGGGTAGATTTCTGCTCAGCTTTTCAGAGAAGGTAACTGAGATTCAGGAGCTCAAACAAATTGTTCCTCCATCCCAAAGCTCATTACGTGGTAGAACCAGACTTCTCAGAACCAGAAGCAAAAGGAATTTCCTTGGTGTCCATTAAATGCCTTGGTTGCTGTTGTGTTGAGGGTCTCACTATGTAGCTGGTTCGGGCTGGATTTAAGTGTGTTACATAGTACAGTCTGACCCCAACCCGGTGATGCTCCTGCCTCAGTAGCCTGAATGCCGCGATCACAGATGGGTGTGTGCAAATGCTTCCCTCATAAAGTTCTACTTAAAAACCATTTCGATCACATCGGGTTCAGTGACTCTTTAAAAAATGCCTTGTTCAGGGGCTTAGGAGATGATTTGATGGAGAAACTGCTCATCCTACAACCCTGAGAACCTGAGTTTGGGTTCCCAGCACCCACATAAGATTGGCATGTTGATGTGCACTTGTAGCCTCAGTGCAGGGGAGGTGCAGGCAGGTAGATCCCGGGGGCTTGATGGCAACACAGCCTAGGCAAAATGCCAAGCTGTAAGTTCAGGATCAAGAGATCCTGTGGTCCTTCATGTTCCTGCTTCACAGAAGAAGCTGCCAGACATTCTACAGGAAACAGGGAGAAGCGGCTGATGAACTTCCAGAATGGGCAGAACAATCCTTAAAATATCCTGCTTCACTGAAAGCTATGCCAGAGACTCTAGGCTTGTAGGCTGAAGATAGATGCCCCAATGCTACAGAGGAACTTTGGATGACTGTCCAGGAAGCCAGATGTCTCTGCCATTTCTAGAATTATGGAAGTTGCTTGCAATAAACTTCCTGTTACTCAGGTAATATTATATCCTTCTGGGGTCCTTGATGGAGTTGGAGACTAGATAGTTATAGTTTTCCTTAGTCATGATAAAAGAAAAATTAGATATAAAACTTTAGACTCATAAAAAATAGGATAAATGATAGAATATTTTCTTTAATTTTGCCAAATACAAATAGACTAGATATTGTACCTGTAATTCTTGCTTGATAATTGTTTTGTTATATATAATTTTACTTTGTTAAAGTTAAAACCTTCCTTTTTGATTAGACAGAAAAGGGGAAGTGATGTGGGATGTCTTTCTGTATGCTGTGAATATGTGTGGCTCCCACTGGATAATAAACAAAGCTGTTTTGGCCTATGGCAAGCTTACAGCCAGATGGGAAATCCAAGCAGAGATACAGAGAGAAGAAGGGTGAAGTTGAGAGAGACTTGAACTCACTACCTACGGAGCAACAAGATATCAGCAGACCAGTAGTAACTCCATGGGCATGTGGCAACACTTAGATTAATAGAAATGGGTTAAGTTATAATAGCTAGCTAGCAAGAAGCTTCAGCCATAGGCCATATAGCTTGTAATTAATATAAGCCTCTGAGTAATTATTTTATAAGCAGCTCTGGGACCGTGGGTGAGAGAGATTCATCTGGACCTCGGGGCCGTACAGGACCAGAGAAACTTGTGGCTACAATCTTGTCTCAAAAGGAAGGTAGAGGATGATAGAGGAAGACACTCCCACTAGACTCTGGCTTCCATAGGCCCTTGCATGGGCAAGCATCCCTCCCCCCCCCACACACATGAACACAAGCACACCCCCCCACACACAACTTCTCTTCTCGTCAAAAAGATGAATGAATAATTGGTAGCTAGGAAACAAGGACATAGAGTGGTGGTGTTTCTAGGTGTGTGACTGCATACACAGTGACTGCCAAGGAAAAGGACCTTAGTCATGTGTGAGTTTGGACCATGAATACAAGAGGACATCTAGGTGGACAGTGTCTGGCAGCAGCTGCATGAGTCTACTTTAATTAATGAGCTTGGAGAGCAGCTTCTTATTTCATGTTGTAGTAGCTTGGAGCAGCCGGGAACTCAAACCACATTGTGTGGTGGGCAGAAACAGAAGAGGGTGCTGTGCCTGAAGCCTAGCCCCTCCCCCTGCTGGGCAGCCCCTCCCACTGCTGGGCAGCCCCTCCCCCTGCTGGGCTGCTCTGCTCCAAGCCGCAGCAGAGGGAAAGCAGCGGGCTGTTTGGGGGTTTCCCCATCATTTTTGGAAGTTCTGCTTCCTTCTGTTCAGCACCACATTAAGTGAAGGAACTGGCCCGGATAGAAGTCTGTGGCTCTGGCACATCACCACAGTGGCTCAAATTTTACTGCTTAAAAAGTCACTGCTACAAGCTGAATTTTATTATTATTTTTTTCCTTTTCCTTTTTCTTTTCTTT